ATTCGGGCTCACCATCAACACGAGCAAAACTGTCTGTCTCTTTCAGCCTTCACCGGAGGTGCAATATTCAATATTGCCGCAAATCAGCATTGGTGCTGAAGTATTGGAAACCACCTTCCCGGTTCCGCCGCCTTGGGAGTGTGATATCGACTGATCAGCAGCTACACGTTGAGTTGCGTATTCGCGTGTCGAAGGCGGCAGCGGCATTCGGGAAGCTTGAGTACCGAGTGTGGAACAACCATCAGCTTAGCATTGGCACGAAGCTGATGGTGTACAAATCCATGGTACGGTCCGTTCTTCTATACGGCAGTGAAACGTGGACGATGTACCGTCGGGATGTGCGATATCTCGAGCGATTCCATCAGCAGTGTCTGCGACGAATTTTGCGGATCGGCTGGGGCGCCAGAGTTGCAGGCACGGAAGTGTTGCGCCGAAGTGGGATGTATGCAGTGGATGGTATACTTTTACTGAGACACCTGAGATGGCTCGGTCATGTGAGCCGTATGGATTCGGCGCGGATACCGAAACAACTTTTATACGGTCAGCTGAGTATAGGGAAGCGGCATGCTGGGAAACCAAAGTTACGTTACCAGGACATGATTAAAGTGAGCCTCACACGTTCTAATCTTGATTGCAGATCATGGGAATCGAAGGCGATTGATCGTGGTGCATGGCGCGATCTAATCACGAAGGCAGTTGCCGAAGTGCGGGAGAAAGCCCTCATGCATGCAGAGAAGAAGCGGCAAGCACCAATGAATTGTACTCCATCGACATCGAGCGCATGGTGCTGTAGAACATGCGGTCGCGAGTGCCTTAGTCAGGCAGGCCCAGTGAGCCATGACAGAGGTCACTCGGGACCACTGCCGAAGCGACGACGGGTCCCGCAGTGAACGTAGGCAGCACCTGCGCAGCGTTTGTAGGCACGCTGAATTCGATTTACTAACCGCATGCTTGCATGCTAAGTTTCTTTATTTCAGGTGGTGGGTTTTCGGTTCTTTCCTAATGCCTTTCTTTTTCATATAAATGTCTAGTGGGCCATGAGCTAGGCCCTTTGGGGCCACTACAGAAGCGACGACCGGTCCTACAGAGAATTACGGCAAGCCGGCACAGCGTTTGTAGGCACGCTGAATTCGATTTACTAACCGCATGCTTGCATGCTAAGTCTCTTTATTTCAGGTGGTGGGTTTACAGTTTTTACCTTAATGCTTTTCTTTCTCATATAAATATCTCCCTGTACTCTATTCCATTAAATTGCACACATCGCCTAAGCCAATCGTATTCGATTTGCATGACATTTTTGTGTTCGTGACATTCCACGAACTATAATTCCTGACCCCGTGCACTTAGCTAGGGTTTGTTTGTAAACAACTTATTACATATGCTATATAATTAAGGTTTATATCACCGTTTCCTTACGCATTAATCGTTTTTCTCTTTTTCTTTCTCTCTTTCACTCAAGTGTTTGGCTGTTGTTTGATATCCCCGGTGTGTCTGCGCTTGATGTGCATGTTGACAAGGTGCCTACCTGTCTATTACCCACTACCTCGTCCATCTGGCTCCAGAAGACAGTTGGTGGTTGTTGGAGGGGACGGGGTGCATGATCCTTGTGGTCGTGCTAGGCTCGAAAAGCGGTTCCATGCACTCAGTGTGGAGCGAACTACGGTCCAGCCACCGCCTTGTATGCGCTTGATTCCCCAAATACAGCGTGTTTGTGTTTGTCTGTGAAGGGGTTTGTACCACTTCCGTTGATGAAACGTGGTTCGCGTCCACATGCCTCCCGGTCTTATTCCTTCGGGTTTACACTAGATATGAGGTGTGTGGTTGGAGCTGTGGATGTTGCAGCGCAAATCACCTATGGTCCCCTTTGTAGGCGCAGGTGTCCTGTGACTGACCACAGTGACAGGCAAATCCGAGACCGGATGCCGCCAACCATGTACGATGAGGCGGCTGCTTTAAGATGCAGTTTACAACAAAAGCACACTCACATATCATGGTTGATTTCAACGTGCATTGTGTAGAAACCCCTACCACGATCGGGGAACAATTCAAAGCCGATCTACAAAATCTCGTAATCACTGTTTCTCTTTACAATCACATCACTTTGCCCACTCGGTTCAGAACAGGTTACAGTCTATCTGTGCTGCATCTTGTGCTTACCAACGAGTAGCATGTGATTGATGTGTTGGTTGTAGACTGCCCGTTGGGTCGCAGTCATCAGTTTAAAACTTCGTCAGCTATGCAGAATATCAGAATGAGGACCATGATGCTTGGAAACCATCACAAGCCATGATCGATTAGCCCGGCTGGTCAGCGGCACAACTTGATCGTTCCTTGACGAAGAACCCCCGGAATTCGCCTGGTTTGAGTTCATCAACGAATTCAGTCAGCTGATTGAAGAGGCTTCAAAGATAAGTTTGCAAAAAGTGTACCTCATTTTCTTTCTTTAGGAGCGGAACTCGAAAATGCATGGCAGTACACAACGCATCATGGCAAAAGTGCAGAAAAGCACCAGCAACAGAAACCTGGGACAACTACGTAGCCCAACATAACCACTGCACACAACTGCTAAGAGAAAACAAAGCCGTCTATCAGCAGAACATCACAAAATCATTCAGTGCTAACCACAAACTGCTGTACAAGCACGTCAATAGCCTAAGAAAGGTGAGGCAAGGATTTCTTCCACTCAGGACGGCTGATGGCCCAACAGGAACGGCTGTGGAAGCAGCAAACGCGCTGCAGATGCAATATGCCCCCACGTTTCAAAGGGTCTTGCCACCAAGCGACATACCAACCTTTCGTCTCCTCGCAAGGACTAACCCACATCACTTTTACCGCGGAGGCTGTATTGCAAAAGCTGACTTCTCTACGCAAACACCGCTCGCCGGGTGTCGACACTATTCGTCCAGAGGCACTGGTAGCAGAGGCCAGCCAACTGGCACGACATTTAGCTCAGTTTTTCCAGCGCTGCTTAGATCATAATCAATTTCGCGCTATGTGGAGGCTTGGAATAATAAACCTGATTCACATAGGTGGAAGCAGAACTGATCCCTCTAACTACCGTCCAGTATCCTTTCTTCCTAAACTCTTCAAGGTCACGGAATCCATAGTTGCCGATGCATTGGTGCGCTAACTGGGAAACTGTAGCATCATCACGCCTGAGCAACACGGTTTCCGTCGACAGGGACCATGTACAATGAATGTACTAATCGCACGCAGTGATTGGACCGAGGCGACTGACGCTGGAGAAGGAGTTGATGTGACTTACTTGGATTTTTCCAAGGCTTTCGATCATCTAGACCATCGGATACTACTATCCAAGCTGCAGCATTACGGGATCGGCGACCCTTCTTTAAGGGGCATTGCCAACTTTCTGCTTTAAGTACAATTAGTGGTCAGAGTTCGGAGCTCTTTATCGAACCCCATGCAAGTCGAGTGTTTTGTGCCGCAAGGCTCAGGTCTAGATCCACGTTTGTTTTTGGTGTTTATTAATGACATTGCACAGGGAATCGCTTCCAACTTCCTAAGGTTTGTCGACGATATCAAGATCTGGCGCAGGATATAGGCGAACACCGACCAACATGTGCTTAAGTGACCTAGATACGGTGTATCAATGGTCAACCCAAAACTTACTGCATTTCAACCCCAATAAATTCAAGGTACTTTCCATCCGACACCAGAGCAGCTACTCCTACCGGATCGGAACGAATATACTACAACAATCAACTCTCGAACGTGACTTGGGTATCCTGGTTCCAGATGACTTGGGTTGCTCTAGGCAATCCGAAAAGGCCTCGAAGACTGGGAACCAACACGTCGGGCTGTTGCGGCTGGCGTTTGGACAAATAAACAGCTCCATATTTCGAGAAATGCTCAGTGCGCATGTTCGCCCCCATGTGGAATACGCAATTCAACCCCGGCATCCATGGCTGAGACACGACCTTAATGCACTAGAGCAGCCACAACCTCGGGCATCTAAGAACGTAATTGGAATGCGCAATCTTTCATATCAAGAGAGGCTGCAAAGATTGGGGTTATTCAGTGGCAGCTATCTCAGACTACGTGGCGACCCGATTATGGCATACTTGATTCTGCGAGACCCACATCATATGTGCCGCCCTTTACTGCAACCCAACAGCAATGCAAACCTGAGGGGCCACTCATTGAAACTCGCTGTCTGGAGTGCCGCAGAAAATTCTTTTCCATTCGTGTCTGTCACCCGTGGAATGCTCTCCCGCACCGACACTAACAGTATTTAAAAGATGGTTAGATGATGCACTCATCCACTTACACTTTGTCACTTAGCACTACGTCTCCATGCTACAACTGGCGTTTACCATGGAATTATTTGATGTTAACTATGGGTGCTGTGAATCTAAGCGGATCGCAGGACTACAGCGGGCAAACGATAAGTCCCTATTTTCATATTTAAAGTACTAACTGTTTTACTACCATTATTATTATCTCGATATCCCCACTAACTGTCCAACGGGACTTGTAAAGCAACGCTTCTTAACCCGTATAAATTCACTGTTCATTGTGCCTCAAAGCTTAAGGCGGATTTCAGAAGGGAGCCAGCTTTAGGGAATTAGCACCATCAGCCTGACTCAATGCGCGTGTCCTAACTGCGTGCCCACCTGCAAACACACGTGCGATCCCTATCGATATTGGTGAAATAGCCGTCAGATTGCATGTCTTGCCAGACATTGTGATCCTCGCGAACTAATTGTTTACTGCTGACGCGCCTTCTGCTACCTCTGACTGGACGATTTCGGTGTCTCATTGCCGGTTTACACACACCAACTGCTGGAGGACGCTAGAACAGTATGGTCTTTCAGTCATTGTTCCAATGGCGAAAACTAAATCACACATTGGTTGCTCTGCCGAAATAGGCAGGTTTGAAACTGATAATAAAATAAACGGAAAAATCCGGACGATAGTTATGTGTATCAATACAATTGCATTTGTCTGACAATAAAGCACATGCCAATTAACACACTCACCTGATGTCGACGTTGTTTTTGGTAACTCATTTGAGGTTGTCGTTCCATAACAAACAGGCGCTCTGTCTTTTTAAGCCTCGAAGTTTCTTTATCACCGGAACTCACCCGGACTTTAGACTCGTAAGTTGAACTGGTGATGGGAACGCTGTATTCACCGTAACTTTTTGTCGTCTCAAAAACTTCTTCTGTGCTTGCGGTCCTCGTATCTGTGATAGAAATGGATAACTCAGTTGAGGATTCCATGTCCACGGACTCCATACTGTTAATATTTTCTCCGTTTAATTTGGCCATTTCGTAGTTTAATCCAATTAGGAGTGGAGCTCTCAGACACGCTGCGTTGGCCGATGCATCCCACGACTCGTGCAACGTTCGTTCCCCTGGTGTGCTGCATTGACCTACTTCTGTTTTCCCTCGTGGTAGATTGGAGCTGTGTTTATCAGGCAATCCCTGCAAAACCTCCACTTTGAGGTAAATCGAAGGTGAACTTCGCACAACGATCATTTCGGAAAAGCCGCTTTCTTCGTGGTTGCACTTATTCCCCTCCCACACCGTTTCTTGTGCTATAGACATATTTCTCCAATGTTTGGACCAATGAGAGTCAACTTGCTGTCTAGGAACTGGTTGATCTGTGCAACGTTTGGTGCTTTCCGCGAATTCCCGCTGCGCTGGAATTTCAATTCTTCCCCTGGTACGGCTGGCAGGTGTGATTCTTTCCAATGGCAATCTAGGGTTTCTCTGTCCTCCCATTTTCTTAATTCTGAACGCATCCTGGCCTGTGTAGTCGGTCAGCGCAGCGATTGCAACTGACCTGTAGACCGGTTGTGAGTCATGCAGTAAAAATTGATTGATGCAGACCATGGCTTTTGCATCTTTGTGGTACACGGTTTTCCGCATCGCTCTCGTCGGATTAAAAGTTGACTGAAAGTTTTCGATTTCCTCTTCATCTGTTCTCGTTGTGTTCATTTTGTAGGTACCTTCCTTGACAATCAGCTTTTGTTCATCTCTGGTTGTCATTGACGTGTTTGCTGTGTCCATCCGTTTCATACCATGAGGCCGCTTTAGTAACATGTCCCTTATGAAGAAAGCCTTAAGAGCCCGATTGATTACCTTAATTGTGGAACTTAATCTTTTCCCCAAGTTATGTGGTTGATTTTGTTTATGCTTCCAATCACTACCAATATTCACACTATGGTACAAACCAGCAGTCGCTCCACCGCATCGGATTTCAGTAGCGTTGCGCAATTTCACAGCTCTGCGGCAAGCAAACAGCTCAGCAGATGTACTCGTGAAACTTGGTTTTGGGGTTATCTGTTGGAATGATTCTGCAAAGAAGATAGCCGGTCCTTGCAAGTTGAATGCCCTATTTTCGGTATTTATCAGTCTCTGGAAAACTATCCTCGACCTGGTAGGCTGTGGGGATTCCTTCGTTATGTAACTCACGACTGACGTTTGTTCTTCCATGCACACTGCACAGTACTCTATGGTCTTGGCGCGGCGTTGTGAAATCCTCGGTACCTCCAAATACCGTGTGAGCTCGTTCACTTGATTATGCATAAAATGGATCAGTTGATAATGTACGGATTGCACCAAAGATACTTGTGGTTTAATCGAACTTGCCACTCCAATACACGCAGCATTCCCGGCGAATAATTGCTGAATTGGCTCTCGCTTTGGTCTAACTTGCTCGACTTTGGAGATGAGCACTTTCATTGGGTGGTTCGTTTCAGGTCCACATGCGCCAGCTCTGGATTGTCGCTGCATTACTGGTAATAGTACATGCTGATTCCCACAAATGAAATCATAGGTTTTATATCTTGGAAGTGGTATCGTTCTAAGTTGTATTCCAAAAATTCCTATTTCCAGGTGACGTTCTAGCTCTGATCCTGTGATGGTAATATTCAAGTAGTTTGAAGCGTCGCATCTCACATACGACAGCGGAGGGTTTGTTTTGGGGCGAACACTGGTTACCGTTGCATTACTGTTGCTTGAAGTTAAGATCTCCAAGTATTGTATCCCTTGCCCGCTGTGCATGTCCATCGCTCGTGGCAGTTCTGCCCTCACATCCGTTGGTTTTCCTGACGAGCCTGCCACTTTCAATAAGTAAAAGAAGACGGGAGGAATTCGTTAACACGACTAAATGGGTTTTGTATTCCGGCGGTATGTACATTAGGAAACAATTTTTTGAAGGAATTATAGTACAGTCGATTGGTCGGCAAATGAACTAATCATCGTTCAGTCGCCAGATTTCGCTGTACATTTTACCACAATATTCTGATACTAGTCAAGTGTTGATATACCACAAGTACTGCCCCAGCACAGCTCCCGTCAAAAGCCTAAAAGGAACATTCATTGTACTGATTCAACAGAAGTGGGATTTTGTGAACGGGACCTTATTGGATATGGGTTAACGGATTCGCTTCTAAACAATATCATGAGATGCACCAATGCCGCTTATCCTTTTTGTTTGCTGTGTATTCATGGCAACCAGGACCGAACTGTGATGTTGATTTACAGCCCTTACAATACACGTGAGGGCAAAACTCGGTAGCCGACAAGGCTGATATGCATTCTCTAACCATGACGTGTCAACTACCGGCAACATATCACCGCAGCATGAGCTTTCTCTTCAATGCCAGTTGGTCGAAATTCTCTTCATCCTTGTTGCACTGTCTGTCATATCTCATCTATTCTATACCGGGTGTAAAGCCTATCACAACTATTTTTTGCGATTTCCGACTTACAGTCTCTTGTCCGGTTCCACTGTACCAAAGTATGGCTGACTACTCAGACTACCTTCCATCTTAGGAAATCGGGATCGTTGTTCCTAGAGCCTGAGAGATGCAAAATGATGGGAACATCCCACTTTCTGCTATCATCTATTTGCCTTGTTTGGTTTTGCATTCAGAATGGATTTCGTGTTTCGTCACCTCTAAACAACGGCGTAGTTACCATTGAGTAGGTCTCAGTCCTCGTCATTCCTAATGAGAGATCCAAGACAACGCTGCTTCGCAATGTTACCAGTTCGGATATCGTTGCTGTTGCAAGGGATGTGAATGCGCAATTAGGTGGACTGGGCTGTTTAATAGCTCAGCTAGTACAATGAAAGGACGGTTTATGACGGGTGAAAAAGCACTAGCTTAGCATGTCCCGTAAGTTGGTAATGAAATGAATTGCGACTGAAAATTCTACCTAAGTGAACAAAAGAAAACGCGCATCGGGGAATATTTAGAGTAACTATAAGGAAATATGTGTTTTGAGGACATGACACCATGCAAAAGGATTAACAACTTGTTCTGGTTAATGCTAATTACAAATACCTAAAGAGGCATCAGCAGTACGTCGGCACGCAGTGTCGCCGCTTCAATGCAGAGCAACCGCCACCAGTCACGCGTAGGCTGAGGATACTGCGAGCGTCTCCCGATCCCCTACGCAGTCTCGAACCCGCGATCTCAGATTATAAGGTAGGCTTGTGATCCTTAAGGCGACGAGCCGGCAGATACTTACGGCAACGGGCCGGCTATCCTTAAGCCTACACCATGGATAGCTTACGTATCATCATCCTCAATCGTCAGTACACGTTAGCCGAGGATGACAAACCTACCACAGCCATTGTGCCGCAATACAAAAGGTAGGAGATTAAACATTACAGACTACAACAATAATGTGATGCTAAACTTACATTACGTATTGGGCTGTCGTTGTTGGAGGGGAAGATAAACGGGGAGGGACAAAGAGACTCATAGCACAAACGCCATTGAAGTTGGCTCCTGACCATGTCAGCTAATGTATCCAACCAAACGTGTTCATCATCCTACGGTCCCCAGCCAGGCAGTCGGGAAACACAAACCGACGACAACTTCGAAGTGAGGAACTTCATTCCTCTCGACCAAGTTATCGTTTGGCCTCTCCTCATTTTTTTCATCCACTACCACAACGCGCATGCCATGCACGTCTCGGGAGTCGGTGAGCTGGCATGCGCAAACTTGACCCTGCCAACGGAGCATAGTGCGTGATAAAACGGTGCTGAGCGGTTCAGTCGCTCTTCCTGCACCAAATACCCGACGCCGAACACACTTATTCCTCACGCGATGCTCCCGTCAGACCTGAGCTAAGTTGCGAAGGCACCGAGGATCCAACTTAACTAACCTATTTGTCTGTCTATTCGATGGGCCAGGTTTCGATCCTTACTGGTGGGTTGAGCGGACGGCTGCATTGTAAACTCTGCCTTTCAGAGAGAGAGTGATGTCAAGCCGACGCCGCAGATGGCGGAGATTTGGGAAAGAGCATTGAGCTTTCGCTGCACGGTTCGTGCTTTCATCTTCCGTTCCATTGGCGCTGATATGCCCGCTCAGGTACTTTAATTTCTGGCCGTCTTCTAGCTGCTCACAACCAATGGTCAGCACGGGAATGGGCTCCTACGAATCTTTGTGAAGTACGTTGCATTTCGAGGGTGCAAATCAAAACCAAACGACTGACAACCAGATCAAATTTATCCAACGCAGCTTGGCACGTCTGTGAGCTGTCACAGATGAGTGCAATATCACAGACGTACTCTAAGTCAAGAAGTCAGTCACCTGGGAGTAGCTCCAAACCTTCTAAGTCGTACCCGGCAAACGCCGTTTTCATGACTTAGCCACTAGCGAAGTTAATGATGAAAGGTGACAACGGACATCCTTGTTTCACACCGCTGACGATACTGAAGGTCGGCGAAAGTTTGGCATAAAGCTTCAGTCTGCCTGAACTATGCGCTTACAGCGCTCTTATGAAATTTACATACATCTGGGGAGGATGAATCGTAGGTTTCGTTGTAGTTGAACCGAACTGCTGTATTCAGGCTAGTCAGCGCTGTATCTACTTCGAAACGCACTATTTATCCACGTAGGAATAGGATGGAGCGAAATGACAATTTTCACCTGCTAATATATATAAGTGGTTTGCAACTGGTATGTGAACACAAGGAACGGTTCGCGCCATGTGCTTGTTTCTGTGTCCCGCATGTGAACAACCACAGGATACCTGCGCTTAAATAAGAGATGGATTGTGATTGCTGCACTCTTGCCTATGGAGTACTTAGTCCACAAATCAGAAGGGCAACCTAGTTTTGACATACTTGGGGTTTGAATACCTTGCTTTCCACACTATGGAAAGAGTGATAACTTGGAGATGCAGGCAAAACCGTGGTGTGAAGTGTCACTCACTGATGAAGACACGAAACGGCATCATCTTACAATTGCGCATTGTCGTGACTCATGTCCTCATAAAACGGAACCCAATTCTGCACGAAGCCAAATGAAACTGGACATGGGGGCAGTCAGTGCTACACCTCGCGACGTTATAGAAAATGTCTTGTCTGCACTGAGTAGTGAAGCTTTGTCCCGTTTGCCCAAACAATCTTCCATTATAAGAAATCTTCTGAGTCACTGAAAAAGCGGTCATTTGTCTTGCAAAACAGGCAAATTTTGCTATTCCTGAGCAGTACTCCGAACTAGTTCTACGTGATTCCGTTATGAGTGATCCAGCAAGGATTCTCGTGTTAGCTGATAGAGAACTTATACTTGATTAATTGAAGTTCTTCGTAGTCAGCTTCAAAATCAGATAGTCTTCCACAGGCTCAGTAAATCACTAGACTGCGGTTTCAGCCTGTTGGATATCGTCAGTAGTGCGCATCTATCGGAGCCATTAGGATTCGAACCCATGACCACCAGCGGTTTGAACTGCCAGTCAGCAGCTTATGACATTGGGCCACGGCGGACAGCATCGAACCGTTATGATTTAGAAGCTAACTGTGATGTAGCGCGTCTTATCCTCCACTGTCATGCAAGTTACGAACGTTGTAGTGGACAGGGTTGACTCCGAAAGACACAACGTCCACTAACAGTAGCTATGTACGACATAACAATCGGAAACTGTTAGGGCGAATATATTTCGATGTGCTCATTGTGCGTACATAAGTGGTAACACTTTCAAACGGCTCTGTTGATTCGTGCGTACTAGGGTTGTGGGAATAACAGCGCGCGTCGCGGCTGCGCGACGGATCGTACACATTCCCATAGCTTTCCCTCATTTCTTACTCAAATTCGAGCTATGGTGTTACGGGATAAGTGTTTGCGCCCTTACCTGGGTATATGCCAGGTACCAAGTAAACTGGTCGCTTGTCGGTTTTTCGTCACAGAAGCAACTTCTCAGATGAACGGATGACATCGTCACAAAAGCGGCCGCAAACAAAGCCGTTACCTATCGATTAGCGGACGCAACTTCACGTGGAGGAATCATTGCACTGACAACTAATAAGCAGTCCATTCGTTTGCTATATTTGTGAATAAGAGGCATCCACTTCATCGAAACTTCGTCTTGTGCGCGGAACCGGGTTTCAGTCATAAAGTTGATGTCGCGCGTATGATACCTCTGATATCAGTAGTGGGTCTGGGGACGTGTGAATTTGATGTGAGGTTGCGCCGACCGCTGATAGCTCGGTTACTAATCGTTTTTTCTACCATCTGCTAGCAACAGTTTGTGTCCTGAACAATCTCGTGCTTAAGGAATGGGTGTGGCCGTCAGTTTTGCAGGCTGGCTGTGTGATGCCATCTGAATTGTCCCCTTTACTAGATACGACTCAGTTTGCCGTGTCCGTTGATTGCTTGGAGGACGCTGGACGCCAGAGCTCGAAAATAGTCTGCTAACAAGTGCATACCAGGGCTCTCACAATCGCGCTTATGTCTAACTTGATTGAAGCACTTTCATACTTCATGTCTTGGTAAGTTACCTGGTGGATTGGAAAAATGCAGCCCAATCAGAGGAGCGGCCCAATTGTTGAAGATCTGCCCAATTATTCCCACCAGATGCATGTATGGTTTATGACGCTGTGTAGTGGCGTTCATCCCGGTAACGCAAAGAAGTCTAAATGTTCCGTTGTCACTACCAGAAAGACTGTCTAGCAGCTCTTTTTTACGACATGATTCCCTAAGGTGTGTAGTAAGTAAAGTATACTGGTTACCCTGGATTGTTTCGCAACAGTACGGACCGAAGTACATGAGCACCTTATTAGATGGTTCTTCATTTGGAAATGTAGCGCAACAATTATCAGACACTCCATTTATATCAACGACCGGACAATGCACAGCGAGTTAGCGTTTTCCGCTGACATCGATTTCCAAGGAAGTCTTTAGGCCCACGTTGCTGACATTGCTAATGAGGCATTGGGTCAGATGAAAATAGCCGACTTCGATTTCAACGTCTTCAAAAGGATGGTAAGGGAAGGCAGAACATGAACTCGGCCTGCTGATACACAGTGGGTCTCAGCCACCGATTCGTTGAGACCTTGACTAACTGCAGTAGGCGGGCGATGCTTAGTCCGTGTAGTTCTGTAGATGGTTTTGCAACACTGCGCAGCACGGTACGTTCCCAACGGTTCGACCGAACTAACGAGCACCTTGGGTGTGAATTCCATAATTGTCACAGTTTACTACTTTTGAAGGCATAGGCCAAAAATTGGATCTTGTAAGTGCCACAAATATATAATATGCGCACTTGTGACAATGAGACCAGGTAGCTAATATGTGTTTATTTTAGTGTACACACTCTTCCCTGTCCGCACTGTTCGTGTCCGCTTTTTCCTCGGTTTGCTTTTTGCTGTCCGCAATTTTCGTGTGCAGTTCCTTCGTATGCGCTTTCATCATGGAACCCTTTAAAACATTCAAGCAGACAACATCGATTCCTGTCTTTTGTCGATTGTTTCGGTTTAGTTTTTGCGCTCTATCTGCTGTTTCATGGTGCTTGATCGATGTGGAGAAAACCCGTGGTACTCCAGCACAATGATGCCGGAGTTACTGCACTTTGCAGCTCTCTGTGTGGTATTGTAATTCAAGAGTCCTCTGCAGTACCTAAAGGCGTATGAACCGCTTGTTTCATAATCGGCTACCAATGGGTTGTGACGCCCTCATATCGTCCTGCTACCTGTTGGTTAGATCCTTGATTAAAGGACTGTGGTATAGCTCCCTAATACAACACTCTATTTCGTCCCGCGCAACCAGTTAGTATCACGTTCACTGACGAATCATGGATGGATTTTACTACTACTTTCACTCTGGCTGCATTTACTGGCTCGTCTGTCTCCACTACTCAACCTACACTCCCAGTGAGTCCCATGTTCCGTGCTTCAACTACAATTATGCCCACCCCGGTCACCTCCAACAGCAGCTCACTAGTTGTGCCTGATGGGAGCAAAACTCAAACGCTTGGTGTTCGGTACCCGACTATCACAGCCTTCTCACACTCCACCGGGGCCCCAGCTTTTCTTCGACCTGGTTTTCCATTCGGCCTCGCTTAGTTCAGTGTTCGCACTCTGATGCAGATCGGACGGCAATCTTGTCTTGCCGGCAAACCCTGACCTCAAATACCATTTGTACCTTTCCGGTGACCCAGATGATGTTGGGATTACACTGAGTGACAGGGCTGAGACCGCTCTGCGTGACTGAATCCCAGTCAACGGTCGGCTACGTGCGGTCAGACTTTGAGATTCATGTAAGTTAAGTAAGCGTCGAGATGTTAAACGTACCCTATTTGTCGTCCCTGCCTATGCTCATACGGACTGCAGGCCGGATGCAGTCAATGATTGCTTTTACCAACAACTAAATGATCTGCGTTCTTCTAAAACGGCTGATGCTTTCATTCTTACCTGAGATTTTAACGCACGTATCTGTCGCCTGCCAGCAAATGAGCGCCATCATTTGGGTTAGTTTTTGCCTCGGTAGAAGTGAATCTGACAATGGAGACAAACTACAAACAGTCATATGTTCAAACGTACCAGAACCCACCAGCGAGTCGTTAAAAGGTCGACAAGCCGAAGAGCAAAATCGCTGGACTGAGATAAGCTGCGCACTAGGACTAAACGTTCTCCCAACTAGTCTGACACGTCTGTCACGAAACCCATCGTCTCCTCACGTAGGGGAACCTCGGTTACTGCGAGTAACATTTGGCAACACTAAGGACTTGGAGGATGTTCTCTTAGCAAGCCACAGTCTACCGAACTCTTCTCTCAGTGCCCGCATTTTTCCAGACATGCCATGGAAGGAAAGACAAAAGCGAAAATCCGACCCAACCGCGTCTCGTCAAAATGTAATGAAGAAAGTGGTGTTGGTTCATGGTGTGCCCGAACTGAAACATGGCGACACCAGTGAAAGACAAAAACACAATATTGATGAGTGGCGCTACATCACAGAACTCTATGGCATGCAGAATGTTGTGGCATTCGACGTCAGCCGCTTAGCTTCCTCACCAAACTATCAAGGGAGCGGGCCGAAAATTTTGAAAGTTACCTTGGCTACGCCGGAGATGGCATCAATGGCAATTAACGTGTGGTACCACAGCAGAAGGCTAGGACCACCAGAATTACGACTGAGACCATTCCTGCAAGCAGTACAGAACACTGGTACAGTTGAGTCAGACCTGGCTTTTCCGACCATAGAC